CTAGCATGATTTCTGGCAAGTTGTTCAATAATATTATAAAGTATATAAGAGATAGGTGATAGAACACTCACAGCAATTCCTTATGTAGATGACAATCTTGCTTTATCACAAACACTTGGGAAATTCACAGGAATTCTTAGGAATATTCCCAGGTCAGATCCCCAGAGATTCTGATGCAAAGAACCAGGACCTTCCACTCACTGTGATCCTGGCTCAGCAGCATCCAAATTTCCTGGTAGCTTGTTAGAAGCATAAGGTCTCAGGCCCTATTCTAAACCTATTGAATCAGAGTCCAAGAATCTTTGGTGGTTCCTATGCACATTAACATTTGAATAACACTGGTTGAGGATGTTTACAAAATAGTCTCCAGCTGTTTCTAATGTTCAGTTTGTTTGCGAACCATTGATCAAGAATATGGCCAAACCAATGGAATAAAAAACAAAATTACTCCCCAGGCAGAACAGATAATATTACATTGTGCGTTTCTTCATTTAACACAGCATTCAGAATGAAGACCAACTTTAATTAGGCACTGTGCCAGACTCAGAAGATACAAAGCACAATCGAGAATATTTTTGTCTTTTAAGAGAATATAAGTCTAGAAGTAGGACATATCCTCCCCAACAATTGATAGCAATAATGTGCTAGAGACACAATTGTAGACATCACACAGGCAAGAAAGATATGCTGAATAGAAAAGGAAGCCCTTTTTACCGGAATTGATATGAAAACCCTTAGGAAGCCTACCCTGGTGACACATCTTGACCTGTGCGTTGAGGTTCATGTGTCAGGGAGAGGTCCAGAGGTGCAGCGACCCAGAGCAGGCTGCTGTGACTGAGAATCTGTGACACATTAGTAAGCTTGGCAGGAGGCAAGAGAAGACTGGCAGGTCCTCAGGGCCACGTGATGCAGGGTGAGCATCCACTGTACTTGTGCAGCCTGGGCCCCTGGAGCCTGAGAGAGGAGACTGGTGCGTGAACAGGCAATTAAACAGTACAATAGCCAGTGGTCTCACAGGCCTGAGCGCAGGAGCTCTGGAGCCATAGGGGGAGCCAGTAGCTAGCCTGGGGACCACAGCTATATCGCAAGGGTACCTATACAATATGAAAGCGAAGGGAAAAGGAGGGTTATTCTAAGCAAAGATGGCAACACATTTGAAGGCTTAACAATTAGGCGAGGCTTCAGAGTGGGGGTGGGGTTTAAGGAAAAATAAAAGCTCCGCAGTGTTTCCAGATCAAGTGTGAGGGAGATGAGGCAGCTGTGAATCTGCAAGGTAGGAAAAAGCCAAAACATGCAGAATCTCCAGTGTCACACAGCCAGCTTGGATTTTACCATTTTTTAGTGGAAAACTGTAAACGATTTTGAATACGAAAGCAATACGATCACACTGTATTTGAAATTTCAGAATGACAAATAAAAACTTGGAGAGGAAGAAGAGCGATGTGGAGGCCAGATTGTGAGTGGGGATGGGTCTCAACAGTCCAAACAGGAAATGATGAGAATTGGCCCTTGTCGATGAGTATCAGAAGGAAAGGTTTGTTACCCAAAATACAACTCTCAAACACAAGAATAACATATTCCTAAGGACTTTTCAGAAAAAGTGGGAGTGTGTTCATGAAGGCAGGAAAATAACTTCTCTCATTAACTTTGAGCGCATTTCTTTTCAAAAGAATTCCGGCCGGGCGCGGTGGCTCAAGCCTGTAATCCCAGCACTTTGGGAGGCCGAGACGGGCGGATCACGAGGTCAGGAGATCGAGACCATCCTGGCTAACCCGGTGAAACCCTGTCTCTACTAAAAAATACAAAAAACTAGCCGGGCGAGGTGGCGGCGCCTGTGGTCCCAGCTACTCGGGAGGCGGAGGCAGGAGAATGGCGGGAACCCGGGAGGCGGAGCTTGCAGTGAGCTGAGATCCGGCCAGACTCCCTCTCAAAAAAAAAAAAAACAAAAAAACAAACAAAAAAAAAACAAAAAGAATTCCCACTACAGCTTATCTGGGCACTTCCGGGTGTACACAGAAAGTCTTACAGCTCTGCAGACCAGTGACCCATAGCCTCCTTCTCTTACCTTTGACCGTAATTCTGGACCGCTCAATCTGGGGTGTCAAAACCCAGGGAATTTGGTGAGAAAGGTGGAGGTGGAACAGGAGGGGAACAGCAGAAGCACTTTCCCCACAAAGTGACCTGACATGGTTTTCTGAAGACAGGCATCATAAACAGCAATGCGAACAATAATAAGACGACTGTGGCAAATACTGTGTCTCAGACCAAGGAAAATTGTCAAATTACAGCTCTTTGATTTAGGGTCAGAAAAAAAATAGACTGGCTGCATAATATTTGTGTTTCCTCACCATGGTCAGGAGAATTACGGATGAGTTAATATCCTAAATCAGAAGATTCCTGAAATCCTGAGGGAGCAGTGGAGGGAATTTTGTAAAATGCATGTGCCTAGGCAAAGAAAGGTGTATTGAGAAAAAGGAGATGAAAAAACTACAAAAATATTTAAGTTACATGTAAACATTTTTTAAAGCTTAGGAATTATGAAATTTCTGAGAATGTATTTTATTTCAAAATACTGACTGTGAGAGCAAGGTGGTAGAGACAGATTTCAAATCCAAGGGATTATCTGGAAGGTAAATCTCCATGAGAGGAGAGCTTCTAAAAATGTGGGTGGTTGACTGGAAAAATTCCAGGATTGCAAAAATAGTAGTACAAATAGGAGCCAACAACTTTTGCACATTTACTATGTGCTAGGCACTGTGGTAGCATCTGTTAGTTAATTTAATCTTCCCTTATAAGGAGAGTTCCATTAGCATTCCCATTTTACAGATGAGAAAACTGCTGAGCTGAGGGTTAAGTAACTTAAATGAGACCACAGAGCTTGTCAGGGACAGAGCTGGTGTCCTAGTGCCAAAGTACATGCTCTGAACAAATGTGGATTATAGTTAGCTTCTATTATGTATTGCAAAACATGACAAATTCAAAAGGAAGAAAAGTTCCTGAACTTGAGGCTACAATTCCTATTTGAAGCTGGGAAGCATATCCTGATAATCCAATCAAATTGCCACAAACATACAACCATTATCAGATTGTGTTTTCTAAAGAAAATCATTCTCATATTGTTCTCTGGTTTAGAATCCCTTAATAGCTATGCCTTCTCTACAGCAGTAGGTACACATGCCTGAACCTGGCTTGGATTCCCTCCACAATCTTGTTACAATGTCTGCAGATTCAATTATCTGTGCATTTTTACATTCTTATCTCTTTCTACACTCTCCCTTCAAAAATCAGTGCTCCAGCCACAGAGAATCACTGTTCCCCCCGAAACACTTTCTATCTCTGCTTCTTATTCACTGACAGAAACTGGGCATATTCTTCTCATGGGCAATATATGTGAGTTTTTATTTTCCTAAAACATAAACTGGTTTGGAACCATGATGGGCACAAATATCTAATTCATTTTGTCACACAACTAGTAAGTAGGAAATCTAGCATTCAAATGAAACTTCTAACTCTAAAACCACACTTTTCCTATAAATTAAATTGTCTTTCTTTGCCGAACTACTTGCCTCTCATTATCTATGCCATTGATTAATTTCAGCTCACCCATGTTGGAGAAGGAAATCTTGACTAAGAAAGATTTTGTTTTATGACTTAAGACAAGTCAGTTGAAGTTCCAGATTAAACAAGACAGTGATTGAGAAAATTATTGCAGCCTATGATTTAGCATGCCTAGATTCATTCCTATGATCCTATCTTCCAAATGTAAATTGCCAAATAACCAGACCTGAAAAGAAATTATCCAAGAATAAAGCAGTAAAAAGAAGCACGCAAGTACAAGTTTCCTACCTTGTTCTTTATCCATACTTCCTTCTCCCAGTCCAGGCTCTTCTTTCAACTCCATGCAGTAAATATTTCTATAAGACCCAACCTGTGCCAAATTCTTGCAGAAACTGAAGCTCTAAAGGTTAACACCCAGAGTGTACTTCCTAGTGAAGTTAACACTAGAGTAAAGATCTCATTGCGATAAAACAACTTCACACTAAAGAATGACCTGTGAACAACAATTCTGCAAAATGGTGCCTTAAAGAGGTTGATCCCACAGTCTAATAAGCTTGGGAAATGCTATGTGCTTTTAGTTCTTCTTTGGTATTTGTTGTAAATATTGTCATGCGTGTCCATACAGAAGACCACCTAAACAGGCTCTGTGTAAGCAACAAGGCTGTTTATTCACTTGGGTGCAAGTGGACTGAGTCTGAAAAGAGAGTCAGCGAAGGGAGATAGGAGAGGGACAGCTTTATAGGACCGGGGTAGGCAGTGGAAAGTTAAAAGTTAAAGGTGGTTCTCTGTTGTCAGCAGGGGAGGGGGTCACAAGGTGTATGGTGGAGAGGTCATGAGACTCATTGTCCAGGAGAAGAAGGTCACAGGGTCGATTCATCAGTTAGGGTAGGGCAGGAACATGTCCTAGTGGTGGAATGTCATAAGGTGGGTTAATCAGTTAAGGCAGAAACTGGTTGTTTCACTTCTTTTTTGGTTTTTTGACTCCTCTAGACTTCTTGGCTCCTGCAGGCCATCAGGATATATATGTGCAGGTCACAGGGGTTACAATGGCTCAACTTCAGTTCAGAGACCTGACAAATATTAGCTTATTAAATATCCTGCAGTCCCGGCCCGCGGGATAGTCAGAGCAGGCCCTGGAAGAGGGGGTGGGAATTTGGGGAACAAGAGACACGACAAATGGAGACAAGACAGTGCTCTGATCAAGTCTCGTTTAATGCCGGTAATGCAGTGCCTTATATACACTTGGAGGGGAAGGGGTTGGGCCAGAGGCGGAGATGATCTCATCGCAGAGGGCGTGACCAAGTAGGTATTGGTTTCTCTGGTTCGAACGTCATGTTGCACCTGCGCTGTCAGTTGGTAATTTTCCCGGGCACGGAATGGTGCCTGTGCTACAAAGTAACAATTTTCGCGGCCGCGGGGGTGGTGGGGGGGGGGGGACAAGTGAAGAAGCAGGAAGAGCGCCATCTATTATGAGGTATTGATACAAAAGAGAAACAACAAATCTAGGGAGGAGGTAGAAGGTGGAAAGGAATAGAGCTCGGGCGTTTAATCATTAATTATTATTTGCTATGGCCGGGGCGCGCAGCTCCGGACACTGCAGTGATAAAAATCTGTTTTGCTTTCCTTAGCTCTGAATTAACAAGAACCCTCTGACTACAGGCACCTCTGTTTTCCCCTGTGCAATATTTAGTAACATTCTGTGGAATTAGAGTTCCTTCAAACACATTTTAGGAAACAGTAGCCAGAAATATTTTAACAGCCTCATAATCAATATCTATCTCTTTTTTTTCTCCTTCCTCAAACAGTTACTTACACTATTGCCAAGGTTGTCTTCCTCAAAGAATTCAGATTATAGAATTTATGCCATGTATTCACACACACACACACACACAGACACACACACACAATTTCAAATCAAACACACAAAAACAAGAAATCCAAGGTCTACCATTTTGTAGTAAATTCTAATGCATCATCAGAGCCTTTTAGGCTTTTTTTTTTTCTGTCAAAAAGGTTTCTTCAGTTTTATGAACTATTGTTTTCTTCATCTTAACTCCGTGACATGGTATTATCTACCATTCCCACCAAGCCACCAGAGCACACCCTTGATGTTGGTTACTATGGTATTACTCTCTTCTACCTCTGCCTTTAGAGACTCCGTGTACTCTGCTAGAATCCAGGCCGAGAACTTCCATGAATTCATTCTTGATCCCCACCACCTTAGGTAAGCACTCCCTCTCCTCTGCTTCCATTGTCTGTGCCACTGATTCTTCTCATAGTCTATGGCACTGATTAATTTCAGCTCACACATGTTGGAGAAGAAGGTAATTGTCACTAAGAAAAAATTTTCTTTGATGACTTTTTAAGACAAGTCAGTTGAAGTTCCCAATTAAACAAGACAAGTGGTTGAGGAGATTATTGCAGCCTATGATTTAGCATATCTAGATTTTTTTCCTATGATCCTATCTTCCAGATATGAATTGTTGAATAACCAAAGATGAAAAGAAATTATCCAAGAATGAAGTACTATAAAGAACTATACAGTAGTATAAAGAACTCTTCTTGGTCCTTTCTTGAAGAATGCAACACATCCCGCATCACTCATTGATACTCTCATTCTCTTTTTCTGTTGGCCCCTTGAAGGGTAAGGTGCTTGAGCTAGCAGCATGGTGCCCGGGCTTCACCATCTGTCTTGTGTGACAGTCCCCATCCTGGGGCATCAAGGCCGCTTAGTTGACTAATGATCCTTAGATATGGATCCTGCCTCTAGGGTAATATAGAATATCATCTTCCCTGGGGAGTGTGATTTGTCTCCCTTTCCATTTCCAGATAACAAAAGTAATCAAACCTCTCATTGGTAAAATAAAGATGGGTTATATTCAATCTTAAAATAAGATACGATAAGATCGGAGTGTAATCAGTATTAGCTCTGGTGGTGTCAAGTTCCTGATTGGCCAGTCAGGTCTGTTGGTCTCTCAGGAAGCTTCTTTTCTGTCATTGCTGTGTCATGGCCCTCCTGTTCAGCCTCTGTTCAGAAAACAGCCAGGAAATACATCCAAGTTCAGACACCTTCCAGCAAGACTGTAGGTTAAGGATGACTGTGCATACAGTCACGTCCAAGTGTCAAGGAGAAGCCAGCTTTGTGAGGTAAGAGTGACTTCTGTCACTCAGCTATCAGATATTTCCTTCTCATAAAGGGGACATATCTGAAAATATTTAGTTTATAAAAAGTGTAAGGTAAAGTTCATTGAGTACCTAGTTATATCAGTGCGGGCACAAGAGGCAGAAGAAGAAAGACGAGCTCAAAGAAGTTACCTAATTTCCTCAAGATCACAGAACTAGCCCCTGTCAAAGTGGAGCATGGGATCCAGGTGTGTGGCTCCAAAGTCTGTGCCCGTAACGGTGGTCCTCTCCAAGACCACTGGGAGTTCAGGCAAGAAGGACAGGTGCTCCAAAGTGTGCCGTTGGACTGAAAATTCAGCAAGAATTTTTGAGTAAATAAAAGCAAATATTTTCTTGAAAGTTGGCTAAATGCAACTTCCCTGTGTGATTTAGTTAGATACATGATTTTGCTTGAGTTGCTGTACATTATACTACCCAAGTGGGGGGAAAAAGTCTGAGTTTGAAATGCCAGTGGCTGTTTCAATGTAAATTCTCCGTATGTTCAGTAAAGTATATTGACTTCCAAGTAATAGTGTACTTTTGACTTGATATTTATTGACTCATGACTACTAGGGACTTATTGATTGTTTTCAGTAAATATTCTGTGAAATGTTTTCTCACTTAGCTAAAAAGATAGCTTAGCCTTCAGCAAGATTTTTTGTTTTCCTTTTCAAGTAGAAAAAAATTTGGTCCTGTTGCCCATTCTCAAAATTGATCTGAAACCATTCATTTTAAGTGTTTATAATCTAAAGACCTAAGGGGGAAAACATTATTAAAAAACCAATATTGCCAATTTAGAAAGAAATATAATATTTATTTCTACCACATTAATATAAATACAAAACTATTCTTAATATTATCCCAAATATGTAAAATTAGCAACTAAAAGTAATTGTAAAAATATATTAAAAATGGATCAGACCTTCATATTCATGAAGATTATTCTCTGATTAGTTTTCAAATTAATACAAAAGAAAAAAAAAACATTTAGATAGGTTGTTGTTTGGTCCCAAGGAGGTATTTCCATTAAGAGCTTTTGTTTATTTTGTTTCTCTTGATATACACCATGAACCAACTTCAAAACTTTCATTCATACTGTACCACTTGCTAAATCACTTTATTTTCCAAAAAGAAATAAGGCTTTTCCCTTACACATTTATAAGAATTACAATTACTCTGTTTCTGACATTGAATGGACCAAAAACACATTCTCCTATTGAAATAAGCATGTTGGGATATTGGCCAGTGTCCAGGACAGAAAATTGTTTTCCCATGTGGCAGCTTAATTGTAATTCACATCCCAGGAAAATCGCAACTACCAAATCAAACTAATTTTGTTATTTTATCCAAGTAGTTAAAATTATGTTAATTAAAATTTTAAGTATCTTCTCTACAACAATATGTTAATAGTAGCTATCCAGAGATACTGGGATGATGGATAAAATATTTTTTTTCTTTCTGCTATGGTTCTGAGCTTTCAATTTTCCTTAATTGTCAGTAGACTTAAATAAGGTTACTTTAAAATACAGATAAGTTAAAAAAAAAAAAAAAAACTAGGACCTTCCATTTTACTTTAGGGGACATCAAATAGATTTTTCAGTATGGTTTATTTATGCATATATCATTGCATTTTATATAATCTTTATATATACCATTGCATTAGAAACAGATATTTTACATATATTCCATAACTGCTTTAGACATGGAGTGCAGCCTGTAAAGTGTAGTTACAGCTTCTGATGAGCAGGAATCTAAAATTAGCACCCCTATTACCATCAAAAAGGGATTTTGTAGGGGTTATTTGCAAACTTCTCTGTGCCCCATTCTGTGTGCTCAATTCCTTGTCTTTCTGCTCTTCTGCTCTCTGTTATAGAAACTACATTTCCCAGGATCCTTTGCCAACTGACTTGCCATGAGATTCAGCCAATGGTAGGTACTGATGATGATTTGAAATCTGGAGGAGGGCCACCATGTAGGAGCATGTTTCCTTCCCTCTCTGCCTCTGCTTGTGTCTTCTGGAGAAGAACTTGTCTGTCCTCTACTATGTACCAGGACTTGCTCTAATCATGTTGAAGTCCAGCTTCCATTAGCTGACCCTGGCTCCTAGTTTCCAACAGCACTGTCTCCTCTTCTGCTTCCTCCATTTTGGGGTGCGGTAGTTTCCTGTTTGGGTCATTGCTAAGTTCCTGTTGGCTTTCTCTGGTCTTCTATCACCATATGACCATTTTTTCTGCATTAAATGTATTCTGTTCCAAGTATGTAGATTGGTTTCCTTTTTCTGACGAGATCCAGGCACATACAGTGGTCATTTTTGTCATATTCCATGGCCACCATAGAGATTGTGTCATCGCCACTTTCTTCTAAATGTATGAAGCAAGAGCATATTCCATGTGTGCACTGATTATTTTAAGTCTACCACTTACTGAGCAGCCACTGTGCACCAGGTATTATAAGGATGCCATCCAGCCTATTTCTCTTCAGCCTCACTGCAAGACACAGTTGTCCTCATTCTCTTTATTCCAGACATGTTGGTTTTCTTTCAGGTCACCAAAATAACACATTTGTTTCTACTCAATGCCTTTGCACATGTTATATCCTGTGTGGCGTGAAGGAATGGTTCCCAGTCCCAGAAATGATCCTCACTTATTCTTTATGTCTCAAGTTAAACTTTTACATCTCTCGGAAGGTTTTCCTGACCCTAGACTGTTAATGTTTTCCTGCTGTACACTGTCATTTTACCATGTACTTTCCCCCTTGTAGTAGTTTCAAAATTAATTAAATAATGTACTGTATAGTTTGTATTTTAATGTCTCATTATATGTGTTAAGATGTATGATCAATCGCTGGGTGTGGTGGTTCACACCTGTAATCCCAACACATTGAGAGGCCAAGGCGGGTGGATCACCTGAGGTCAGGAGATAAAGACCAGCCTGGCTGACTTTAGTAGAGACAGGTGAAACCCTGTCTCTACTAAAAACACAAAAATTAGCTGGGCATGGTGGCATGTGCCTGTAGTCCCAGCTACTTTGGAGGCTGAGGGCTGAAGCAGAACAATCACTTGAATCCAGGAGGCAGAGGTTGCAGTGAGCCAAGATCGTGCCATTGCACTCCAGCCTGGGTGACAACAGTGAAACCCTGTCTCAAAAATATATATATGATGGCCAGGACCAAATTCACTTAATTCACCTCTGTGTCCCCAGTAGCTGTGTTGATTCTTACACACACAAACATTTGTGCTTCATATTTGGTGAATAAATTATTTCATTGTCTTCTCAGTGTCCTTTTAAGATGGAAATTATCTTCTTTATATAATTGTATTCAATTCTTTCTACAGTATATTGAATAAGCTGCTACCTCACATGGACCATTTTAAATGCTGAAAGATACAGTAATGATCAAGACAGACAGAAGTCTTTTCTTCACACAATCACATCAACACAATCAACATCCTAGTTAGGACTTGTGCAGTAAACAAGTGAATGCGTAATATGTCAGATGATAAGTGATATTGAAAACAAGTCAGGAAGAGGGAATATAGTTTGCCATATGAAGGCTAAGTTGGTTAGCCATATGAAGGCTAAGGTCAGAGCAGGAAGGTTGCAAAAACCTCCTTGATACTGTGATGTGTAAGCTGAGAACTGAAGAAGCTGAGACGGTAAACCAAGTGGATAGAAGAGAGAAAATAATTTCAGAAAGAGGAAACTGCATCAGTTTTAGAGACAGGGAAGCTAAAATTCTGAGAGGTGAGGCTAATTTCCTGATAGTGTAAGAAGTCTCCATCTGCAACCAAGTCCACATGACCTTAGGCCTGCACACTAGCCAGTGCGTTATCAACATCTTCAAATTGTAGTATGTGGGATATAAAATCATTGAAAATTTCACTACAACCCACATCAAATTGAACCATTCAGTTAGGATCAATATATTCCTACTCACCATGCCAACCATAGTTGACAAGAGAAACAGCAGGTGGACACAATATTAAGAATAGAATTCGGCTTCTGATTTTAGGCCAGTTTGACTAAAAATGTTATTTTGTAGGTGTGTGTTAGCAGTGGGTTAGGACACCATCACTGGTAAAGCAAAGCTCTGGGCAACATACTTCAGAGAACCACTGAATTTTGTACTGTTTCAGAGCTGTGGTCAGACTCTCACGATTTATCTGAAAGGAGCCAACAGAGTGTGTGGTGTTGGATGCAAGAACATCTGCAGTGATGTGAAAACAACTTAAAACTCATATGTCACCTTCGTGCACACAGCCATTATCAAGACTCAGAATGATCCTTTTGAAGCCTTGACTAGTGAAAAGCTGATGTTTAGTTCTGTCTTTTAAGTTAGCTGTGGCGTTTCTCAAAATTATTTTTATGTGTTAAGAACCACTAATGAAGACAGATGAATACAACGGTCTGTGTAGGAACTCACAATGACAGCTCATGTCAGATTGTCCAATTGTAGAGTTCTTTTGGTCAGAGATGGCTTACCATTGCCATGGTTACTACCTCTGTGCATGTCCTTCCCTCTGTTGTCCTTGAGCCCTGAGACTAAAATAAAACATTCAACTTCAGTGATGAAGTTGCAGGTGGGTAGGGATTTGGAGTTTTCTAAGCTTGGGTTCTAATTCTAGGTCCAGCAGGGACTAATTACCAAAGATTTCTCCCTCCTGACCCCACCAGTAAACATACAGGAGCTTGTATTAGTAAACTTCAAAGCTTCACACAAAATTATCGATAGTCCACATTAAGTATACTAATATTATCTGACATGTATTAGATCTGAGGAAAAGGCTGATATATTGTGTATGCTGTCTGATTATAATTGACATTGTTTAGGAGAAGCAGCTTGGTAGAGGACAAAATCACAAGAAACTGGAACCGAGAAAGCTGAGTTATGTCTTGGCTATTCCAATGACTAGTACTGTGCCTAGGGCCACATAATGTAACCTGTGGGGCTTATTTATTTATTTATTTTTGATCAGCAGTTAGAAAGTTAGAGGAGAAGAATCCAAGTTCCATAATTGAAGAAAAACAAATGTATGGGTTCTCTAACTTACATGATCTATGTACTTGTATATGTTGGCATCCAGCATTTACAGGAAAATGGAACCGGAAGCACTTGAGAAGATGCTTTTAATGGAAGTGGAATAGACTTCCATTAAAAAGACACATTACATTTGGGAAAGGGCATCTGCTCTCAACCTCAAATAGCATTTGATTCCACTGTAATACTATCCAGGCTAACCAAAAAGATTGCTGATACTTCCTCAGGTAGCCAAGAATGCTGGAGTTTTTTCTCTCTAATATTTGATAAAGCAAGAAGTAAAAATTATATAAAACATTAAGATCAATAAAATAAGAGCAAGATCTTTTCAAAACAATAATTAAAAATTGAATGGAAGGGCTGGGTGCATTGACTTGCGCCTGTAATCCCAATACTTTAGGAGGCCAGTGTAGGAGGATCACTTAAAGCCAAGAGGTCCAGACTAGCCTGGACTACAAAGCAAGACTCCACTCCATCTCTACAAAATGAAAGTAGAAAAGCTGGTTGTGGTGGCCTAAGCCTGTGGTCCTAGCTACTTGGGAGGCTGAGGTGGGAGGATTGCTTTAGCTTAGGAGGTCAAAGCCATGAGGGCGCCACTGCACTCCAACCTGGGTGATAGAACAAAATCCTGTCTCAAATGTAAAAAAAAAAAAAGAAAAAAAAATTAATGGAGTTTTGTCTTCCCAGTTTTCACGAAAAATTTCTAACTTTTATAACCCTGTCTGTATTAAGAAGTCTGGAAACATCAGGTGCATTTATGACTACTTGCTTGAGGGTAAATAGCACTTTACCTATTCTGTTTCTCTGCATTGTTGTTACACAGGTCGTTTGTCAGACTTATAGATACTTTTGTATTTTTCAATTATTCTCTCTTCTTGTAAGCACTTTATTGCCTTTCTGATGATTACCTGCCCCCTCCCCATAATTTTATCTTTCAATGAAAAGTGGAGAAAACAATGCACAACATTATGTCGATTCTTCAAGAATCTCATAAACTGTAGAAATTGATACCGTCCCTTTAAAATTTCTCTCCTTTTACTTGGAAGACTGTACATCCCTTGATTTGTAATTTTAAATACACAAGAAATTTCAAATCTTTATATTTGCCCTTTTTTACTTTTGAACAGTAGCTTAGCTTATGTTCTGGAAAATGAATGTTCATTAATGTTTGCCTTTCTTTTCTCCTCAGTAGCATTGATAATGGTGACTTTAATGTGACAATGAAACTTTAATGTGATTTATGACATATCACTGACAAAGTATTGATATGCCTAATATGGAAAAATAATCTTCTAAAAAGAGAGGGAGGAATATGATAAAATATACTAGTTTTTCTATAGAAAATGGGTTAGAGATACGAACATATATTTTGCAGAAAAAGGCCAATTTCCTTTAATCATATGAAAACTTTCTCAAACTGGGATATAATGAGATAAAGGAAAACTTGAAAGGCAGTGATATATCATTTCTTATCTAACACTTTGGCAAAATCCAAAAGTTGACAATATGCATTGTTGTGGAGACTGTGGGGAAATAGTGTCTGTGGAAACGTAAAAAATGATACAATACCTAGGGAGTGGAATGTTGCAATATATATCAGACTTACATGGGCATTTACCCTTTAATTTAAGCAATTTACATTCTAAGAATCTATTGCAAGACATATGCAAAACAAATGTGTGCACATGTAGCTTATTTGTATTATCAAAAATTGAAACAACCCAAATGTCCACTCTTAGGAGACTGAATAAATTCTGATAGATCTATCTACAAACAGGAATGGGGAATGCTTCTATATGTTATTGTGAGTAAGGTCCTGAATATAATATAAGGCAAAAGAAAGCAAAGTGGAGAAAAATTTATTCTTTTCTGTAAATATATAAAATAGTTAACTAATGTTTAATTGTGTATGTACATGCCACATACAAGGACACACGCAACACATGCCTACATTTATAAGAAAAACAATGAAAGCATAAACCATAAAATTGAACAGAAGGCTGCTTTTGTGGGCAAGACGGCAAAAGGGTAGAGGAGACAGGAATGGAAGTTAGACAGTCCCGAATATATAGCATTTTATAGATTTGACTTTGTAAGCATGACAATATTTTAGATAATTATAAAGTAAATCCTAATGAATAAGAAGATGAAGACAAAGACATTTACATGTGTGTCCAGTTGATGATACTATTAAATGAAGAAGAATCATTTCAAAGTATGTGAAACCCAATAATATCCCCATCTTACTAGTGGATTATACCACAAAGAAAAAGAGAATTGCAAAATAAAATAAAACGCAACTCCAAGTATTTTAGTTGCTGCATCGTAATGTTGAAGGTGATGCTGGCATTATTATCCTGAGACCATTGAGTATGTAATATGGGATAAAGCAATGACTAATTTTCTTGTATCATTAAGGATGAAGATAAAAAATAAAAAGAAATGAGGTCACCCAAGCTAAGTAAACAAAATATAGTCCTAAATTTGAATTGGAAGTACCAAAATGACCTTGTGAGAATTTTATTTCTAAAAAGAAGCACATATTTTCTACCTATTTCACAAAACAGTCTATGAAGAAATACCAAGCCAGGGAAAATGAACAACTCTAGCACATAATGTGTGCTCTTAAATGTTCTTTTCTACTAAAAGAAACCAAAACTCCTTGCAGAAATGGCTGAGTTGAAAAAATAAAAGATGAATTCAGAAGCTCTAGTTTGACTAGATAACAAGAAAGCGATCAGAGACTAATAACATTTTATTAACATATCTCAATTATAAATTTTAAAAAGAATACCACTG